CTCTATCTAATCATTTTTAAACCCAAAACAATTCTAATCAGAATTGCTTTTCCATAAGTTTCCAACAAAGTGAAGTAAATATTAAATGATGCTAGAAGACATAAATCATTCAGACTTTGTTCAAACACTCCCCCCCAACAAGTTTCTTTCTCTCCATTAGTTACCCTTCTCCCTCCCACCTCAATTACACAATCTATTCTTTCTAGCGGTAAAGTGCTTTATAAACCTCATATTATATAAATGGTAGCTATTATTATTATTATTGTTATTATTATTAAATTTTCTTATTTTATTTTTTCTCATTACATGTAAAAAATTCAAATTTTTTTTAACAAATTGAGTCCCAAATTCTCTCCCTCCCTTCTCTCCCCGTTCCTTAAGAAGGTAAGAAATTTGAGATAGATTATACATGTGTAGTCATGTAAAACATAGTCATGTTGCAAAAGAAAACACAGACCAAAAAAAGCTAGCCAAACAAAGAAAGCAAAACAGTATGCTTCGATCTGCCTTCAGATGCCATCAGTTCTTTCTCTGGAGGTGGACAGCATTTTTCATAAGTTATTAAGAATTGTCTTGGATCATTCCATTACTGAGAATAGTTAAGTCATTCACAGTTAATCATTGTACAATATTGCTGTTACTGTATACAATGAATGTTCTCCTGGTTCTGTTCACTTCACTCTACATTGGATCATAATTCTTCCCAGGTTTTTTTCTGAAAGCTTCCTGCTTCTTATTTCTTATAGCACAATAATTATTCCATCACAAGGCCTCGGGGCAGCTAGGTGGTGTAGTAGATAGGGAACTGGGCCTAGAGTCAGGAAGATCTGAGTTCAAATGCAGCCTCAAACACTCCCCAGCTGTATGACCCTGGGCAAGTCACTTAACCTCTATTTGCCTCAGTTCCTCATCTGTAAAATGGAGACACAATGGAGAAGGAAATGACAGACTTACTCTAGTATCTTTGCCAAGAAAACCCCATAAAAAAAGGGGGGCAGTTAGGTGGCGCAGTGGATACAGCACTGCCCCTGGAGTCAGGAGGACCTGAGTTCAAATCTGGCCTCAGACACATAACACTTACTAGCTGTGTGACCCTGGGCAAGTCACTTAACCCCACTGCCTAACTAAAAAAAAAAAGAAAGAAAAGAAAACCCCATGGACTTTGCTCAAGGGGTCATGAAGAGTCTAACACAACTCAACAATAACAATTCTATCACAAATACATACTATAACTTGTTCAGCCATTCCTCAATTGATAGGCATCCCTTCAATTTCCAATTCTTTGCCACCACAGATATTATTATTATTAAAAATAAATCATCTTATTACTCCCATTTCTTTGACTGGAAAATGAAACAAATAAGTCTTAAAACCAAGTCAATACTTTGTCATTTGCATCTTAAACAAATTTTAGTCATTTTTGGTCATTGTTTTACTCTTTGAACAACTTCTTTCCCACTTAAAAACTTTTCTTCTTTGAATGTTTTATATTCAGCATGACATGAGGAAATAAACTTGCTTATTAATAGATAACTGTAGGAGGCAAGAAAACCCACTTTTCTCTGAGCCCCAGTTTCTCTCTCTAAAATGGGAGATGATTGCAGAAGTCTCTCCTAGCTCCGTCATTCTAATCACAGAATGGCAGAGCTGGAAAGGACCTCAGCAGTCAGTCAAACCCACCTGAAAAGGAATCTCTTCTACTATCAGCCCAACAAGAGGTCTTCCAGACTTAGCTTGAACACCCACCCACCAGAGTGGGTCCGGAGGCAGCCCGTTCCATTTTAGTGCTGATGTAATTGAAAATAAGTAAGTTTCCCCTTAGGCTCAGATTTGTCCCTTTGCAAGTTGTACCTGCTGTTCCTTAGCTCTATCCTCTGGGGACTATATCCCAACCCAAACATTATATCTGTGTGTGTGTGTGTGTGTGTGTGTGTGTGTGTGTGTGTGTGTCTCCCTATTCTTGCTAGCTACTCATAAGCTCTGTGTGAAACTTCCTGTCCTCACTAGCCCAACAAGAGCCCAGTTTTTAAAAGTTCCTCCTGACCTATACTTGCTGAGTTATAGAAACCTTAAGAAGCCATAACAGCACGGCCCTGCCTATGTTCCTTAAGTAATTATTTACAAGCCATTCACCAACCTAACCTTGTCTGAGGCTTTATTAAGGATTGGCCAGTGGACAAATAAAGGAGAGCTGGACCACTTTAATGATAAGGAAATCCCATTCCAGAAATCACGCCTCATCAAAAGAGAGTTCATGCCATCTGTCTGACCAGCAGGACAAACAGTGGGCAGCATTCCTGAGATGCTGGGGCGTGGCAACTGGAACAAAGAAATGGAGGCCTCAGTAATTACAGGGGTGGGATCACCTTCCACCTAAGGATTCCTAGTTCTTTACTTGGTGAAAATTTCATTTCTTAATTAGTGTTTCTTTTAAAGAGGCAGTGTGGCAAAACAGATAGAAGCCTGGCCTGGGAGTCAGTTCAAGCCCTGACATTGACCTATACTTATTCTGTGACCACAGACAAGTCATCGTGTTGAGGACAGTTCTCTAAAGCTATGTGACAATGGGGTTACCATTCTCAATCAGTGGAGGAAGTTTCCACATGGAGAGTTCCCTACATGTTCATTTATTGCTCTGCACATGACATTCTCCAAGATACTGGAAAATTTCTTTGGCAAGATTTCTAAATTTATGTCCTCAGCCCTAATCTCCCTCTGCACTCTAATCCCACATCACCAACTGTCTGTTGGATAACCTAAGAGAGTCTGTAGGCATCTCAAATTCAGTATGTTGAAAGCAGAACTTATTATCTTCCCCCCAAATAAGCTAATATTTCCTTTAAGTTTCCCTATTTCTCTTGGGAGTATCAGCAGCCTCCTGGTCACATAGATTTTTGTCTTTGGAGTAATTTTAACTCTTCCTTCTTCCTCACTCCCAACTCCCACACCCACTCCACCAAGTGAAATCAGTTGCCTATTGATTCTATAGCCATAAAATCTCTCACATATGTTCCCTTCTCTTCACTCATGAGTCATTACTGTAGTTCAGGACCACATCACTTCTTACCTGGACTATGGCAACAACCTCACAACTGGTTGCCCAGATTACAGTCTCTCACCTCTCCAGCCCATTTTCCACACAGCTGCCAAAATAATCTTCTAAAAGCATAGGTCTGACCATGCCATTCTCTTGATAGTTTCAATATCTTCCTACTGTCTCAAAGATAAAATACAATCTGCCCTAGACAGTCACTGAAAGCCTTTTACAATGTGGTTCCAGTCTACCATTCCAGCCTTACTACTCTAAACTACTCCCCCTTCATGTATTCTATGATGGAGCCAAGCTGGCCTCCTTGTTGTTGACAGAAATCAGCATTCTCCATAATTCTATATAGGCTGTCTCCCATGCTCAGAATGTACTCTCTCTTCACCTTTACTTCTTACAACCCTTGACCTCCTTCCATGTGAAATTCAAGTACTACCTCCTACACAAAATCCTTCCTGATTCCCTTTGTTCTATTATGCTCTTCCTCTTCAAGTTGTATTTTTATTTACCTACTCAAATGTTGTATCCCCCAAATGAATGCAAGCTCCTTCAGGGCAGACCAATTTTTTTTTGTTTTTGTCTTTGTATCCCAGCATTTATGAGATATGAAAGAAACCATGGAAATAGCCTTAAAAGAGCTGTTTACTCCAAACCCTTTTTAAAAATCCAGCAAGGAAGGGTAGCCAAATAAAAAAAGTTCTGCTTTGTCAAATTCTGAAGATAGGGTTTTACTCTTTTTTCATATATTGATTACTTATCTTGTTGACATTGACTAAGCTTAAAAATAAATAATTAAATAAAATCTTTCCGTTGAGGATAACTCTGATAAATTATTCTCAAAAAGATTTCCAGCATTAACAAAGTAGGCATGTGGGTCAGAGGTTCCAATTTCAACTCCATCACCTCCCTTTTTTTTTCAAGCACAATGCATATGTAACATTTTCTATTCTTTTGGAATCTTTCTTTCTTTGAAATATCTTAAATGGCCCCTGAATGCTTTTCAAATCATGCCGCTTCCAATATAGGTTTCTTCTGCATATTTTGAGCCTCTTCCAGTCAATTTTCAGCTTCATTTCCTCACGTATCTTTTCAACTCCCTCATCTAGGTCCTCAGGTACAGAGGTATCATAATTCCAATGGGGGCTATTCCATTATTGATAATAAGATCAGACTGCTATAAAATGCTAAAAGGTCTGTTCCACTTCACATCTATCCGTTATCCTCCTAATTTTATCTATAAACAGATAGGATGATCTGCCTTGGTTAAGTCTTATGTCAAAGCTTCTACAGGTTAATTTTTTCTCAATTACTTATTGCTGTTTGTGAGATGATTGCTTGTCCTCTTCCATCATCATTCTCTACAATGTTCTACAAATGAGCTTCTATTACAAACTGATGTTGTTTTTGGCTGTCACGTCTCTCCTTGGCAAGGACATCAAATGTTGCTGGCTGAGGCAGTTTCAGGGTTCTTTTGGCTTCCTCACTATGGTGATTTGTTTTATAACAGTTAAACTTCTCTAAGAAATGGTGATAAGCCGAGTCATTGATGTTAAATTCACATTTCCCAGTTTTCAAAGTCATTAGCTTCTTTAAATAGGTCATGTAAAGGCACTCAGTGTCTTTTTCTGTATAATGAGAATATTAATACACACACTACCTACACAAAGTTGTTTGGAGGAAAGCCCTTTGTCAAATTATAAAGCATTATGTAAATGTAAGCCTGAAGACCACAATGGAATGTATCTTTAATGATGGAGTTTTGGGCACTAGTCAAAAAAGTTTCTGGGTGGGGAGACTGTCCCTGCACCCCTCACATCAGACCACATGGGAGGCTATCTACACATATATAATAATGACAATCTTTTAAACCAGCATAGCCAAAGTATAGATAGAATAGAAGGAAGGGGCTGTGGTCACATATCATTCAAATCTTGTAATCGGACTCTAACCATACCTGGATGCAGTCAGCTCAGCAGTATCCAGGACTGTGACATCATGACAGGGAGAAGAAACAGCTACAGGCTGCCCTAGCGGATCAACAGCTGTTGTCGAATGGATAACATCACCTAATGCAGGAGAACTGGAAAAATAGGGAGAAGAAAAGGGAAGAGACCAGAAGTCAAAACTCAGATTTTGTTCTTGGCAGAGATACTGCAGTAGTTTGCCATTTTCTTCTCCAACACATTTTACAGATGAGGAAACTGAGGCAAATAGGGTTAAGAGACTTGCCAGGGTAATACTGTAGTAAGTGTCTGAGGCTGGATTTGAACTCAAGAAGATGAGTCTTCCTGACTTCAGGTCTGGCACTCTATCCACTGTGCCACCTAACTGCCCCTCAGATTTTGTTTGGTTTTTGTTTTTATTTTTTGTGAATGGATAACTATGTTTGTTACTAATTAAAAGTAATACTCTTTTTATTTATTTATCCCAATTTAAGAAAGGTCATTGGTTATAAGCCTGTCCTCCAAGGTCTACATAGCAACCTCCCATACAGATACAAAAGTTCTTTGAATGTGTTAGTAATGAAGTCCCTTTGGATTCATTCCGATACTTTCTTGCCTCATAATGAATTTTGTTCTATAATATAGTTCCAGTATGTGTGACTTGCTTTTTAAAAAGACCTCAAGTCAAACCATAACCAACTAGAGCTTACTGGACTCCACTTGGGATTGTTTTTTTCTAGGGCCACATCTGGGACAAAGGATGAATCTTTTGCCTTTACATCAATGCAGAAGTCTGTACTTTATAGCACATAAAAGTTAAGGGACTTGACTAAAATCACATAGGGTGTAAAGTAGCCGAGCCAAAACTCAAAAGTAGGTCCTCTGATGAAAAATCTTTTCCCAGAGAGAATGAATGTGAAAATTCTTTAAATAACTTTTTTCTTTTTCTTTTTTTTTTGGCAAGGCAATTGGAGGTTAAGTGACTTGCCCAGGGTCACACAGATAGTGTCAAGTGTATGATCTGAGACCAGATTTGAACTCAAGTTCTCCTGACTTCAGGGCCGGTGCTCTATCCATTGGCCACCTAAGCTACCCTAAACTATTTTTAAGCACTACAATTTGAGGCAGCATTAACAGTGTTGCTGTTGTCATTAATGCCATAGTTTGTAAGAAAACAAAGAAACTCAGGAAAATTAAGAACAAATAAGAGGGAGAGAACAAGAGTTAGGTAGTGACCCCAGTAATTCCCTGTTAGATCATAATTTGGGAAATACTGAATCAGAATGATCAAAACTATGGAAATTGAGTTCAAATTTAAATTAAAAACAAAAACCAATGTACCCAGTTCATTGAAACACATAGAAGCCACAAAAGTCCTGGACAAAGTCTACCATACTTTCTATATTATAATTATTATAATAATTATTATCATTACTTTTACACTAAGCAGGTTTGGGCTTCTTGTTCTAAACTAGAGGAGAATCTAGCGACACTGTCTTTAGCCAGCAGCAATGGAGAACAATGGTTACCTAAGATGAATTTTCCACATAAACAGAATATTCTGTTGTTAAATGTTAAAACATTTTTTATCCAGTTTTGAAAGGCAATCTTTTTTACATTTGGTGACAGTATGAAACAATAGCAAAAGCACTCCTTACATCTACATTACAGGCATCCTTTTTTAAGATTCTGCTCTAAGAATACATACTTCCCTGTCTTCTAAAACGATGCACACACTGAATGTGAGTTAATCTTTTCTCACTACAGAATCATGGATTTTGAGCTGGCAGGGATGATAAAAGTCATCTCCTCCAATGCCCTCATTTTGGAAATGGGGAAGCAGAGGTGCCAAGAGATGAAGTGACTCCGGCCATCATTACAACCATTACTTCCTGCCCTGGACTACAAAATATTTGTCTGATTGTGTCTTCTCTCAAAGTCATTTGTTCTCTCCTGCTGCTATCCAGCCCTTCCTTTTATAATTTATAGCTTCTAATTTGCTAGGGGCTGAGAAATCTAAGCACCATTATTAAAATTATTTATAAATTAATAGTCAGTAAGCTCTGAATGATGGATTAAGGACCTTTCCAAAAGAATAAAGTATACAAGTTTTAGGATCTATCTATTTTATGGGCAGCTAAATGGAGTAGTGGGCATAGCACAGGACTTAGACTCAAGAAGACCTGAGTTCAAATTCTGCCTGAGACACTTACTAGCTGCTGTGTGACCCTGGACAAGTTACTTAATTTCCTCATCCTCCATTTTTTCACCTGTAAAATGGGGATAATTGTGTTACCTACTTCACTTGGCTGTGAGGATCATAAAGGATAACGCATGTAAAGACCTTTACAAACTTTAAAGTATTATGTAAACACAAGGTATTATTATATTGCAATTATTGTAGCCACAACTCAGAATAATATTGCTCAAATTTTGAAACTCGGCACAGTTCTCACCCTACCCAGATGCGATCTCTCCCTCCTCTGAATGTTAGCACACTTTGTAAATCTCTCTAATCATGGTTACTACCTTCCTTCCTTGGAACACCATTATTTATGTATATGCCTTATCCTCACATTAAACAATAACATTCTTAGGGGCAGCTAGGTGGTGCAGTGGCTAGAACATGGGCCCTAGAGTCAGGAGGACCTGAGTTCAAATCTGACCTCGGACACTTGACACTTACTGTGTGACCCTGGGCAAGTCACTTAACCCCATTGCCTACAAAAACAAACAAACAAAAAACAATAACATTCTTGAGGGCAGCGATTGCTTTATTTTTTTCTCATTCACTGAACCATTTATTACATACCTACTAAGTGCACAGCACTACTAGGTGCTGGTTCTTTGACTCCCATACATAATATAGAATAAACTCCTGAATAAATGCTTGTTGCTTCCTAATTCAATTCAACCACAAAACAAATATCATCTATTTCCGGAGGTAAGCCAGCATCTTGCCCCCAGTCAGTAATAACTCTTGCCCCGGGGTACCTCAACAAGCATTTGGTTTTCATCTCCTAGGCATTTATCATTCATATTTTTGCAATTGTTATTTGTATAATGTTTTTACCGCCATCACCCATGTGTCCCATTAGATTGTAAGCTCCATGGACCAAACTAGGAATGTACTGGAACTGCCTGGAACCCTACTCTAATGGCTCTGGAAAGCCAACTGTCAAATTTTCAGTGTTGGCATTTATACCCTAGAAATCAGCAAACACTAGAAATTAGGGCGTGATTTACTATTTTGCTGCTTGTTTAAACTTAAGAAAGGAATGGAGAAAAATGTTAATAATGCAAATTAAACTTAAAAGCATGCCACTCATTTTTGGAGATCTGGTTGTTTAATATTTTGCCAGCACATATTTCATAGTAGCACCTACACGATTTAGTGGATAAACTGCTGGAAGACCTGAGGTCAGGCCCTCAGATATTAGCTGTGTGACCACCAGCAAGAAACTTATTAACCTCTGTCAACTTCACTTTCCTCATCAGTAAAATGGAGAAAATAATATAATCCAACTTACAGGACTATTGGTATCAAATGAAATGACATGGAATGCTCTATATAAAAGTTGGAGCTTTTCCCTCAGCACATAGTAGGTTCTCAATCAATGGTCACTGAAGTTGGTCCTCAGACAATTGAGGCCTCCATATAAGTGAGGTGTTACTATAATAACATTTCTCACCTGACTAAATATATTCAGGAAGGAACCATAGTAAATCTACTCCTACAAATATCTGCTAAATTCTGCTGACGGCTGTCAGGTTAACGTGACTGAAGTATTTTTTTCTCCACCCCCCAAAAAAAATCCATCCTGCTTTCACAATCAGCTGCTGGAAAACAGCTGCAAGCAGCCCACTTATAAGCTAAGTCAGGCGGCCTAGGGGTTCAGCTAGCTGGTGGAATGTTATCAAAATGAAGCTTTCATCGACAAGGGTTTTTCCAAAGAGAATCTGGAGTCACTAAGATCTCAGAAAGCGAGTTTCTAAACCTCATAGTCGAGCATAAAATGACATTTTTTTCCAAATCCCCATTAAGACCGGAATGTCACAAACTAATCTACAAAAATGGGTGAGATTCAGCCCCACTGTTCATGCCTGTTAAGTGTTAACTTGAAAAAAATCCATCATGATTTTCTTGGCAGAGAGCAGAGCTGAAACTGTGATTTCACTGGTATAGAGAACTCCCTGTGGGGAAATTCTCTTTGCCAATGCACACCAACACCTCACTGCAACTTAGAGTCTTGGAGGTCTGGCTGGGGCCCTGAGAAGTTAAATAATTTGCCCAGGGTCCATATCCAGTACGGGGCAGAGAGCTGGGCATTTGAACCCTGATCTGTTCAATGGTATGTGACCTCTTTTTGCCTGGATTATTGTGAATCCAGGCTACATTTGGTGATGGTATGAAACAACAGCAAAAGCCTCCTAACATCTAGAACATTTCCAGGCATCCTTTTAAAGATTCTGCTCTAAGAATTCAGACAGCGTTCACATTTGTCCGTGAAGACCAGACACCTGTGCTCTGGTTTTAGACGTTGCTTCCCAGACACGCAGTTTTGCAGCTCTACAGGGCAAGTCTGGTTGGTGGTGAGGGTGAGACACATAAAGCTTGTGACCCCTGTTAGGCTTCCTATGTCACTCAAGATCATTGACTTCAATAAATCCCAACAGTAGCCCCTTGCATTTGTAGCGTTTCATGTAGGTTAGCAATAGTTCTGTGAAACTGATGTTAGAAATCACAGAATTTCAGAGTTCGAAGAGACCTCTGGGGTCACCCAGTCCAATCCATACTCCCCGAAAGAATACCTTCTGCAGAATACCTGAGAATCGGTCATCCAGCCTTTGCCCAAAAACCACAAGCAAGGAGAATCTCTCTCCCTTACTTAAGGCAAGCCATTCCACTTGTGGAGAGCTCTAATTCTTAGGAAGTTTTTCTTCCCATCTTTCCACTAAGTTCATCTCTTTCTAATTTCCAACTGCTGTTCCAAGTGTTGTTCTTTGGGGTCACAGGAAACAATTTTAATCCTTCTTCCATATAGTTGAGTCATTTTTCAGTTATGTCTGACTCTTCATGACCCCATTTGGGGTTTTCTTGGCAAAGATACTGGAATGGCTTACAATTCCCTTCTTC